ACCAGATGGGTGGGAGATGTCTAGCACGAGGTAGTGGGAGCTCATTCCTCTGCAATTTGGAGGACAAAGCCTCCAGCACTGCAGAAGCTCCCTGTCCTTCATGTTGCCACAGACTGAGGCTAGTGGCAGCACAGCGAGGTCTTCTACGGCCCTGCCGTTTCCTTCTCTTTCTCTTCCTGTGCCTTCCCAAAGCTCCCGGGCAGCAGCTGCTCCCCGTTCCCATTTTATATTTGTTCCACAGACTTGCTGGAAATTAACTTCTGCCTTGTTCTCTCCCTCCAGCCCTTCACTGGGAGCTGAGCTAATAGTAGGAACCAGAGACAGTTTTAACTTCTGTACTGAAGAGGACAGCCTTGGCATCTGAAGTTTGCATGTGCTGCAACAAGACGCTGAAAGGCAACAAAACTGATGAGACAACTGGCAAGTTACTCAGCAACCCTGATGAGTTTGTGGAACGAAGCTGGGAGAGCAGGGTTTCCAACCATCCAACCAACCAACCAGGACGTTTTTCTCACTGGCATTAGGGCTGCTCCTTTGATCCACAAAGGAAAGTTAAGGAATGGAGATAGCCTGCCGCAGGGTACCAAAGCTCTTTACAGGTAGGACATGAAAGAAATGTATGAATTGATAATAAGAAATATGTGAGAAGGTTACAGAATGTGATAGCATGTCTTCTGCAACTCCTGAGGTGCGTTGAACAAAATGAGGGCTCTCTGCTATTTGTACATTTTGTAAAAATGTTCTGTGTTTTTAGTGTTTTGTGTAACAAAGAAAGTTTTATGTGCTTTCTGTTAAATGTTTCTGGTTGTGAGACACACCAGCAGACTTAAACACACAGGTAACATCCTCAGCTTCCCCTGGTTTTATTCTTGTTGCTGATACTTACCTTTCCATATTAACATTTGAAAGATTTTGCTATAAGCTTTTCTTTTGTTTAGGGAAAAATGTTGACTCTGCCACTTACTCAGTCTGTATTTATGCCAAACAGTGCATTTCATAAAGGAATGGAAAGCAGTATAGTTGTCTTCTTGACAGGCTGAAGGGAAATGTTTTTAACAGCTATAAAAAACCCCACATTGTAAAATATGTAGTTTATAAATCAAAGCTCTAGAGGGAGATCTTTATCAAAGCACTGTATTGACATAAACACATCAATCTTAAGCATGGCCAGAAGACTGAAATAACTTTTTTTAACTAACAGTTCCCAGCGTGTGGTACACATCACTCCACCCAAGGAGCACAATAAATACTGCCATTGGAGTCCAAAGTTCTTCTATGGACAGTTCAGTTGCATCTTTAGATACAGAGCTGCTGAGCTGCTTCCCTGTCGCTCATTAAACTGGAGGATGAACAGTCTTCAAAAGTTTCAGATTGCTGGTACTAAGCAGCAACAGTATGGGAGCAGCTGGGAAAAGTCTGCTTCCTCCCAGGGAGCAGGACTGCGCGGGCAGGCCCAAGTACCTGCGGTGTGGTGGAACGCAAGACGCACAAAGGGTGTTGGTCTGCGGGCTCAAACACACGGCAGGTTACTCGAGTGCACAACACAGCCAGTTGCCCTAGGGAGCTGTTGTTGCAGGGTTTGCAGATTGAGAGCAGTGAATGCCATTCAGCCGCCCGGGAAGGCTCTGCCCAGAGCCTAGGAATGTGAAACAGATGTCTGCTTCTGGCATTTTTCCTTGACTTGAATGAGGCTGGCTGTATTCAACACAGCTGCTCTAAAGGGTCATAGTTTCTAATGGAATGTGTCCTATTACAAAGCATTCCAGAGGTTAAATGTAGGGGTAGCTTTTATTTTTCCAAAAAGTCTGAAAAGAAGTATTTATAACAAATTAATGTTTTCTTCTCCCGTTTTATCTTCATAGAGCACAAGCCAGCTAACAATCATTAAAACCAGGGAACAGAAGATTTTTGCTAGACCTGGCGGTACGTTACCATTCAGCAAGTATCCAAGCTGAGGGAGCCTGTACAGGAGGACCTGTGATCTTCACCAAAGTAACCGTGGTTTGTCCTTACTGTTGTTCCTATCATCTCATAAATATAACATCCACATCACTTAAAGAAATATGCCAGATCTAACGTAATAGAATTCTCCATCCCTAAGTGGCAGAAGTCAGACCTTTTCTTCCATATCCCACGATAGAGTCCCTCTACTGAAAAGTCATCCCCCAACTATAAATTTAAACAATCTAACCACATACTGTTGCTTCTCTGAAAAGGTAGATGGTGCAAAGTGCACCCCCAGGGTTACTGTGTACAATCTGCTTCATCAGGCAAGTGCCAACATACTAATAAATTATTTAACACTATTATTATGTAATGGTGAAAGCCAAGCAGAGAGATTCAACAAAGCTTAATTTCCGGATTCTCTTCTCTATTTGGAGTGCAGGTTGAAGCAATCTGTTGGCAGCTTAGTCATCCTCTGTTTTCCCCCTGGCACATATTTGCATTCCTTTCTTGCCCAAAATCTGGGAAGGCAAAATTCATTTTCTGTTAAAAAAACCCAAAAACAATAAAACACTGAAAACAAAATCAAACCAACCAAGCATGTTGCCTATGAGCTGTCTGCATGCACTGCCATGGTTGAAGTTTCATTTGTGGAGCAAATGTTGGCAGTGTCAGAACTAATCAGTTCAGTGATTCAGCAAGACAGGCAGAGGGCAAAGACGGCATTAACAGCTGGGTCATTCTGCTCCTTTCCCAATGTGAATACTACATAAATATTGTCTTTATTTACAGTTTCATTCACACATCCAAGCAAGCGCTGATCATTCAAACAATGCTAAGCCAAATAAGCAGATTAAGGTTGCTGCAGAGTTGGCTTTCTGTAGAAGCCCTGTGCAAACTGGGTGCTTCATTTCTGAAACAGGAAGATTTGGATTTCTTTTTGTCCTATTTTGCAATGTGACTTTAGATATCACACTTGATCACCACTGCCTCAGTTTCCTCAGCTCCTCAACACAGGCTAGACTGGACTACTAGGCTGAAGTTTACATAGTGTTCATAAACGTCACCATTTTTAAAACAGCATCTGAGACCCTCCAGGAGAAAATACTACTGAAATATAAAGCATTACCATCAAACAGGTGAGCACAATCTACTTTTTAAAAAGTTTATTAGTTACCCTTTAGATAACTGATGATGATGAAGGTAACATTGCATTGTTACCAAATGGAAGCACCAAAATACCTGACAGGATTTCTTTAACACCTTGCTATTTTTCCATGTGGTCCATGATTAGAAACATCTTTTACAGAAGTTCAAATTGATTCTGGAATTCTATCTTAATTAATTTTTCTACTGTCAATTTCTGCAAAAGACAATAGTTTAGTAAATGCCATTTTTCCCAGACCAGGCATATAAACTAAATATTATTATTAAATCTCAATCTGTTTAAAGCAAAACTTGTCATTTAGCTGTCAAACTTTGCCAGAAAAGTCCTTCAGCAAAGGGTAGCTGGACTGTTTGTACTGAAAACTCTCCTATATTGCAACAGGTGCATGAAAAAAAAAACCCTACGTCAAAGATACTGTATTTTCTACCACAAGTAATGAATAATTAAAAATAAATCAGTTTTATACAGGTCTAAAGAGCCCTCCATATTTGGCTAATCCAAGGTAATATAATAAAAACCAGTCAGATGATTTAGAAGTGTTTACACTTATTGCTAAAATGTGTTACAACTTTGCACACATGAACTTATATAATTTTTGATGCCTGAAGCTGAAATTATATTAGCAGTCCAAAACAGTCATATGAGGGTAAAAATTTTAACTGCAATTAGTGTGGTGTACTAGCAAAGTCCAGTGTGCAAAATCCACTTCTAAAATGCAGTTTATATGTCATTTTGGATAGTGAGAAACCAATTAAAACCAAGTTGAATCAAATCTTTTTAAAGAAAAATCCTACCTATGCAATGACTAATAAAATTTAAAAGTAAATTTTCATTATGTTTTTGTAGCTGCCTGTAAGCTAATTTCCCACATACTATTTTTATAGGAGTGATTAAACATTTTTTTAAGAAACTCCAAGTGATTTTATTTTGCTCATAGATATACATATAGCGTAACACTAGCATCACCACTTATATACAAAATTAGTTTAGCATAGCAGAATACCAACGATTTCTTCTCAGGCAATTACGATCGAGCAGACAAACACTGATTCACCACTTCCAGTAAGTGAGAGTTTTCCAAAGCAGCTGCTACACGTTCTTTATCAGCAAGCTGTTTATTAACTGTACAGAAAAAAACACCACAAGAAACCAGTCAAAACATTGGTATACAATGTCTTTGTTAAAGCATTTTACATTGAGACACATAATCACACTGTTGCTATGGTACTCAGGTAGACTAGTAATTCTGCAGATGCTAAGTACACTGCAAAGCTGCAGTCTAAGTCAAAGCTAGCACGTTATCACAAGTTAAACCAGCAACCTGTTTAAAATTCAGCAGCCGGGAGCTACGCAGGTGTAGGTGTAGAAAGAAGAAATTTCCCCCCAGCCTCTCCCCATTTTCCGAGTCCTCCATAACCCAGGCAAATCAATGACTAGTTGAGAGCACAGGTTGCCTGAGGAGATGTTTAAAGTACGGTACAGAACATATCTAAGTGTCATTATTACACGTTCCTGTTCTGTAACATCCCCCAGAATCTGATGCACATAAAGTCCCACATACTAAAAAGCTGCTCTGCAGGTATGGGAATCTCTCTCCTCTCTAATTTTCAAGATTAAAAAAAATAAAGATCAAGAAGACCACAGAACAGAGCACTAAAAACCTTACCTGCATGCTCAGAGGCATGTGTTCCTGGTGTTATATGAACATCCAGCTTAAAAAGCATCACAAAAGAAAAAGGGGACCAGTCAATAAAACATTGGAAGCTCAAGTTCAAAGTATTTAATAATAAAAATAAGACAGTAACAAAGAGAGGGAAAAAAGGACATTCTTGCCAATACCATACACTGTATATAGCAGAATAAAATAAAGTCTAAAATCAGAATATTCTGGATTCCCATCTGCTTAAGCCTGCTTCAAACAAGGGGGTGAGACACCACCCCCTCCTCCTCCCGTGCCATAGAGCACTGCAGGTAACTTCCCTCCATAACCCCACTCGCCCTTGACATGACTGTCACAGAACTGTAATTCTGCATCGATATTTTAGTCCACTGGCCCCTCTGGTTCCTGGAGTGTTTCCCTCACCCGTAATACGAAAAAAGCTTTAGTTATTTTTCACTGTAAGTTAGTTAGCTGAATTTTTTCCCTTTTTTTTTTTTTTTCCTTCAAACACACCCCCCCTCTTTTGCTTTCCAGAGTGATTTGATTACTCACCTTAAATCTCTCGGGTAGAGATCTGATCAATTTTACTTTTATGGAGAGGCCGATTAACGTCGCCATGCTGCAGTGAGGGATGGTGGGAGTGAACTCCACTGCCACCGTGCTTTCTGCGTCATTCACCTGTTGAAAACCAAACACTTTCCATGTACAAAACTCACTGCCTTTACCCCAAACTAGCTGGAGCCATTTTATGCGAAATGCAACTTGCAGCTGTACTTTGTCGCTAATAGTTTTGTTCGCTGACATTTTTAAACACTATGTTTAGCTGCAGTAGACTGCTATGATAAACCCCTTTTAATGTTAGAAAAAAATAATGAAGCTGTTCAGAGGGCAGAGGCAGCACTGCCCTGCAGCGCAGCGCAGCGCAGCGCAGCGCAGCACGC